GTGAAGATGTGGCAGCCGGGCGGGTTGTTCTCCTTCACGAACACCGTGTACTCGGGCTGCGCGAATGCCGGCGCGTTGTCGTTCACGTCCGCCACCTCAACGTACATGCTAGCTGTGGTGGACAGCGAAGGCGATCCCCCGTCTCGTGCTGTCACCACCAGCTCATAGTTCGCCACGCTCTCTCGGTCCAGGGCGCTGTCCAGCACCAGCGAATAGTAGTTTTTGAAGGTGGACACCAGCCTGAAAGGAACGTGGGGTGACAGGGTGCAGGTCAACTGCCCGTTGGCACCAGAGTCGCGGTCAGACACACTGATTAGGGCAATGACCGTGCCGAGGGGAGCATCTTCTAATACAGGTAATGATAGTGATTTGATAACCAACTCAGGTACATTATCATTGGTGTCCAAAATTTCCACCAGAACCGTGCAGTGACCTGTCATTGGGGGAGTTCCTTTATCTGTCGCGTCTACCTGGATTTCATATAACTTAGTTTCCTCGAAATCTATATTACCTTTTACACTGATGTATCCACTAACTGGGTCTAAGTGGAATTTCAAAAGAGTATCTGCTGACATGTCTGTATTGAAAGAATATACAATGTCCTTATTTACTCCTTCATCCAAATCAGAGGCGTTAACAATCACTGCTAGGGTACCGTTTGGTGCATTTTCGAATAAACTGACTCTGTAGACGGTCCTCTCAAACTCTGGGGCGTTGTCGTTTACATCTAGAAGGGTGATCTTCACTTGAATAGTTCCGGTGAGCTCTGGTTTCCCACCATCAACTGCCGTTACTAGTAAGTGATGTTCAGGAATGTCCTCGCGATCTAAAACTTTTCTCAACACGAGTCCAAGGGATTTAATATTATCATCATTTCTTTTAATATCCAAGGTAAAATAATCGTTAGAGTTAAGACTGTAGGTCAACAGAGAATTGGCTCCAATATCTGCATCTGACGCGCCCTCTAGCGGAATCCGAGAACCAGGCGGCCGGGATTCGTAAATAAATAATTTTTTTACTGCCACCGGGAAAACCGGCTGGTTGTCGTTAATGTCCTTCACCTCCACCTCCACATGGAAAACCTGCAGCGGCCTGTCCACGATCACCTCCAGGTGGATGCTGCACTCCGCGCTCCGCCCGCACAGCTCCTCCCGGTCGATCCGAGAATTCACAAACAAAATGCCATTCTGCAGATTTACCTCTAGAAGGTCCCCGTGGCCTTTGGACGCCACCCGGAACAGGCGTGGCACCAGCTCCGCCAGCTCCAGCCCCAAATCCTGGGCGATGCGGCCCACGAAGGTGCCGTGTTTGGCCTCCTCCAGGACTGAGTAATGAACCTGGCCGCTCCCAGTCTCCCAGACTGTGAGGAGCAGAAGCGAAAGCAGTAATCGCCGGGCTCCTGGACCTTCTCTCCGTGAAAACACCCTTGCAAGCCTTTTCCAAATATTGTGTCGTTCTGGCCTCGATCCAAACTTCAAAAAATAATTTGATTTCCTCATTTTTTTCTTAAATAACCTTACCGTGCCCGTATTTCAGAGAGCAGCATCTGAGTACATAACGCATGCTTCATTTCTTTTGTGGTGAAATACCTTGTGGTGGACAGCGACATCATGTGGCTAAATGTTTAAGTATTAAATAAATGTACCTACCTTCTCCGTATACTGGCGTCTGATCTTTCCCAAAATTTCTATTTTAGTTGTAATTTCCTTCGAGCACTTTTCAAATTCTTTATATTTATAGAAATATAACCTTATAGCTTTTATACTAATTCATCACTTCCAAATATCCCGATCCATGACATAGTAGAATATAGTAGAATGATTAATGTTATAATAGTAGTGGACATCTACTGGAACTATTCCCCACATGACAAGCCTGGGGTTCTAACGGGGTTATCCATTAAATTCTTTTTTTTCCCATTAAATTCTCACAACAACTCTCCGAGGTAGTATTAATACAAGTCACTTTTTACAAACAAGGAAGTGAAAACATACCAGTTAAGTAACTTAAAAATATTAACTGGTGATATTTGGGTGGGATCTCAATCTGATTCAAGACCCCTAACTTTTACCATTTGGCCTCGAAGTCTACATTTTATAGAAAAATCAGGGCCACCTGGGTGATTCAGTTGGTTAAGCATGTGCCTTTGGCTCAGGTCTGGATTCTGCGTTGGGGTCCTAGAATCCAGCCCCAACTCAGGCTCCCTGCTCAGCAGGGAGTCGGCTTCTCCCTCTGCCCCTTCCCCCGCCCAGCTGTCTCTTGCTTTCTCTCTCTCTCTCTCAAATAAATAAAATCTTTAAAAAAAAAGAATTCCAGAAAGATGATTAAAAAGAAAAAGAAAAATCAGACCTTTGATATTCATGACCACCAAAACATCAAGACATTGAAAGTATGTGTAGGTAGGGGTGCCTGGCTGGCTCAGTTGGCAGAGCATGTGACTCTTAAATCAGGGTCTGAGAGTTGAAGCCCCACGTTGGGTGTGGATCCTACTTAACAACAAAAAAGTATGTGTATATACATATCCATATATACATACATATTTACTTATATATTACTAAAGCAATTGTTAATTTAGAAAATTTATTTATGGACTGTCTATAACTCACTTTTATGTCCTTTATCCAATGATTATACCCTTGTTGTCTGTCTTAAGTGTTATTTATATAAAGATGCCAGAAGTCAGTTTTTTACAGTGCAGTTCTTTTATAAATTTGTTTTACTATATGACAATACATTCATGACAGCAAGTCAGAATATATTTGTTTTTTAAATTTCCACACCATTTATACATTTCAACTTACCTGCATATGCTAAAATGTTCACAATATGAAATAATTATGTTTTTAATGATCTCCACTCTAGATGAATTTCTGGATTCCAGTTTCTTAAAAAGTTGTTACTTGAAAGTATTGGTGACTTAACCAATCAATAAAGAAAAGTAACTTTGGAACATAATTCACCATTCAGTATCTGCAAGATGAGGCAATGTAATATTCTAAAGGTCTCTCTGAATTCAGTGAGAGGTATGAGTTCTCTAAATATTTGAAAGTTGACCAGAGAAAATTCATGGGCAGAGGTTGAATGTAGAGAGGTAAAAGGATGTCCAAGGTTTTACGTATAGTCAGAGCCTCTTGAAATAAAACCAAATACATGATTTAAATATTAGGAGAAAATTTTTCATGCCAGCTTTTTTTCCCATGCACTCACTGAAAGCATGCCGGGATTGCAACTTACTCGTATTTTATCATTCACATTTAGAATAGAATAAATTGTCAATTAATGTTTTAATGGATAAATGAGTATTTTAAACTTTCTCAAGTATCATAAGAGGTAAGTTACATTAATGATATTTGTTAATATCAAACTTATGTAATTTCTAATTGATTCTATTGTACTAGTTCATGAAGAAGTAAACATTTAAGAATTATTTTGGAAAAGCATGAATCAAGGAAATAATTACAGATATCTGTATGCCAGTTAGTGCTTTGAAGAATCTTGAAAAATAATTACTAGTTTTAAAATGAGATACAGAATTAAAAATTTAAAATATCATGGACTCCATGGGACGCCTGAGTGGCTCAGTCAGTTAAGTGTTTGCCTTTGGCTCAGGTCATGATCCCAGATTCTGGGATCAAGTCCTGCATCGCTTCTCCCTCTGCCTGCTGTTCCCTCTTCTTGTGCTCTCTCTCTCTCTGACAAATAAATAAAATCTTTTAAAAAATAAAAATAAATTTAAAAACATCATGGACTCCATATTGATGGAATACCTCTGACAACTTATTATAATACTATACATTTCATGACATTTAAGAGTATACTAATTGCAGGGGTGCCTGGGTGGCTCAGATGGTTAAACATCTGCCTTCGGCTCAGGTCATGACCCCAGGGTCCTGGGACTGAGCCCCACATCAGGCTCCTGACTCAGCGGGGAGCCTGCTTCTGCCTCTCCCCCTGCTCATGCGCTCTCTCTCTCTATCTCTGCATCTCAAATGAATAAATAAAATCTTAAAAAAAAGAATATGCTAATTGCAAAGTAGAATGCTACAGGCAATTTATGACAGAGTAGACTCCATAATGATTATTAGGCAATGAAGGTAATACTAAAGGAACTATGAGTTCATCAGATTGAGCCACTGTGTGGATAAAGTATCAGTGAATAATATCTACTCTCACTTAGACATCTCCTCAGGTAACTTAATTTAAAAGTGTAAATAAGGAATAAGAAACCAATAAGAATTTAAGTGATAAACTGTGACTCCTGGAGATCTGGGTATACCTGGATATATTTTTAACAGCTTACCATTTACCTGTAGTACAAACATAGTGGCCAGACTTCTAGTAGGACAGATTTCACCTGACCGTTTATACTTTCTGCATACAAGTCTCAAGAAGGTGGTGAATAGCTATGACACTCTAGGTAGGATGACTCCTCCCAAGAAAGAGCTTCTTCCTTATTTGCCCAAGTCGCTTTTTTCCCTGTAAAGCCTCAGATAAACTTTTCTGGTTCCCAGGAAATATATACTCCCTGAATTTTGAGGCTTATTAACTGTTAGGAGCTAAGAAGTTTACTGTAGAAACAGATTATCCTTAAAAGATTTCCCCACCTAACTTCTCAAGTCCTTTAAAAGCAGATCTCAGATGAAAATGAATATATGGCCTATCCATTGAATGGCTAAGGCCAGATCACTTAGTGGAAGTTATTTCTACAATTCAATACCCATCCACATACATACAGGGAAAAAATAGCAAATAACTAAGAACCAAATAGAAGACAGTTTTAGACAGTTATTTCACACCAAGACATTTTCTTCTGAAGTTTTAAAATTCTTCTCCAAGTGTAACATTAACTTGTCAATTTTATGTTTTAACAACCCAACACAGGAGTTTCCAATTAAAACGCAGTCATTCAATATCAGTCTTCACCTTTTGGGAAAACTCCAACTTCCTTAGTTATATGAATGTTGCCAGGAGAAAGTGAGTGATCTCACACTTGTGGAAAATGTTATCCCAGGCATAGAGTGTGGTGTCAGAGGCAGGTGGTCATTCTCTGCACAGTGGAAGGCCTGTACACATTAGCCTAATGATACAGATACTGGGAAGGATGACTGAGCAACCCACTAACATAACAACTGCGCTAGAGTACTCACCACTTTTAGAGGAAAAAAAATCCCACCACCTGGCCACCCCACAATGTAATTTTTTAAATGTTAAGATTTTTTTTTAAGGTTAAAAGATTTTAGGGCGCCTGGGTGGGTCCATCTGTTGGGTGTCTGACTCTTGATTTCAACTCAGGTCGTGATCTCAGGATTGTGAGATCTAACCTCTCGTTGGGCTCTGTGCCGGGTGTGGAGCCTTCTTAAGATTCTCTCTCTCTCCTTCTGCCCCTCCTCACTCCCCTGCTCTCTCTAAAAAAAAGATATTTTAACAAAATTGAAAGAGGATTCTTTTCTTTTTTTCTAAAGATTTTATTTGTCTGTTTGCTTATTTGAGAGAGAGAGTGCCTCTGAGTGGGGGAGGAGGAGCAGAGGGAGAGGGACAAGCAGACTCCCCACTGCGTGCAAAACCCCTCCTGGGGCTGGATCCCACTACCCTGAGATCATGACCTGAGCTGAAATCAAGAGTCAGACACTCAACAGATGGAGCCACGGAACAACCAACAACGGAACAACCAACAACGATTAACCCACTGAGCCACCCAGGTGCCCCAGGGAGGGATTCTTTTCTCAATGAACTCTCTATTGTGCCTTAAAACTCTAAGGATTTTGTAAGTGTGAAGTCTTTATCCCAAATAACAGGTTATTTGACTACTGAAAGACATACCTAATATTAGCAATTATTCCTAAGTGATGTCACTTAGTGATCCTAAGTGATGTATTCTTTTTTTTTTTAGATTTTATTTATTTATTCATGAAAGACAGAGAGAAAGAGAGAGACAGAGGGAGAAGCAGGTTCCCAAGGAGCAGGGAGCCCGACGCGGTCCTCGATCCCAGGACCCTGGGATCATGACCTGAGCCGAAGGCAGATGGTTAACCATCTGAGCCACCCAGGCGCCCATAAGTGATGTATTCTAATGACCTATGATAGGTACTTTCAGAAGTCCTGGCATTAAAAGATCCATTCAGGCTGCTTTCAAAAACAAGGAAAAGAAAACCTAACTTACTACCTGTTGCATAAACAGATAAAGTCAAATGAATTCTTGATCGAAAAAATAATCTAGAAAACGTCCAGGTAATAATATACTCCTATTCCAAAATATTCTGACAGAATGGATGGATGATGTAAATTGGAAATATGCATTTTGTATATTCATACTCTTTAAATTTTTTCCAATTATGATTTTTTAATTTTGAGAAAAAATATTTACAGGTAATAAGTTTTCAAGTTTAGCTGAAGTGTTTTTCAGTCCTTCAAAGTCCAATTATTCACGAACAGATTTAATTATGAAGAAAACAAAATCTGAAAATAAAAAAACCATTTAATGGTTCTCAATGAAGAAATTCACCTCTATCTCATACCATATATTGCACCATAAGATAATGATAAAAAAAATAAGGGCAAATGGCAAGATTAACATAACATAATAATAAAAAAAATAAGGACAAATCTATGAATCAAAATAATAGAATCATAAATAAAGGAAATAGAACAACTCTAGAATCGACAGGAAAGACTCACCTTTCCTAAGTGTTCTGATTCTGAGGATTGTTGTCTTTCTTCTGCGGAGCCTGGAACTTGAGGTAGGCTGGGGCTGAAGGCCATGAGGTCGGTCTTGGGCGGGCCCTCCCCGGAGCACACCCTCTGCCGCCTCTGCTGCGAGTACGACCAGCTCCCCACCGCGCTGGAGCACACCAGCGTGGGCTTCCCAGGCGCGCACGCGCCCTCCGCGGGCGGAGCCGAGCAGCGCAGCGCCGTGTACAGCAGCAGCGTGA